AAAAAAAAAAAAAAAAAAGACACTACTTGTTCTTTTAAGAAGATGAAAAAAAGTACATCGCAGCCTAGGAAGTGAAACACTAAAGAATGTCCTAGCTCTAATCAAGGTTACTTTTGATATGTAGTCACAAAACAAAGGCAGAGCTCATTATTTCAAAGACACTTCGATTTTCATGATATGACTAAAAACACTCTGAACCTCCCGTAGTCATCTCTAATCCCAAATCTCTTCCAGTAAAATTTAATATCCTAAACAATAGAATTCATAACTGAAGATGTATTCCTTTAAGTTAGCAAGCAGAAATATATTGAAATTAAAATAAAATCTTAAGCTCATTATTACAGAATGTGTCATCATAATAAAACAATATGATTAATAAAGATGAAGATGGAGTAGGACTGGGAAATACTTTGGTTTGATATATATGAGGTCACTAACATGAGTAAGGGTCAACTCAGTAGCAACTAACAAGATCAATATAACATAAATTTTGTCCCTAGAGTTGTACAGTATTCAAACTTTACATCAATAGGTGGTTGCATTGCTTAAAAATATATTTTGAAAAATTGATAGCCACTAGTGAACATCTTCCCTCATTGTAAGGAGCAAAGCATGGACACATGGAAGTGCAGTTCAAAATTTATACTCTGCTTTGAAGGGAGTGTCAGGAACAGCCAGGCACTTAGGATCTTTAAAAAGATGCTAGTGCTAGACAGGAAAGCACCAGAAGAAGGAGAAAGTGCACCCATTTGTAGATTTGTCCATGCTTCACTTAATCCAAAGAATGCAGTTAGCACTTGAAATCCTGCTCTTTACTTTGTGAACTTGAGTCCCACGGAAAGGATGGTGTCCTGGGCTTCCGAGAGTATTCAAGTAGGAACACTGACTTGTTCATCAATAGGCAGAGGGAAGCAACAAGGCAAACACCACTAGTGCCCTCTAAAAGTATTACACTTACCTTGTGAAATCACTTACCAATCTCTGTGGCAATAGTCTGCAATTTTTCCAGTGTCCGGCTGATAAGTACAACATTGAGTCCTTGTTTTGCGAGCTGGAAAATGGGAGACAAGAAACCAAACAAAAGACCAAAGTGATAAGCAGAGAAGGAAGGCTAGTCTTAAAGGTAAATTGGAGAAGGGGGTAAATTGGAACTTTAATCATTGCTATGGAGAAATTTGAACATTAGCCATTGCTTATAGAAGTATAAAATGACATAGCTATTTATAAATTCCTCAAAAAATTAAAAATAGAATTACCATGCAACCCATAAGTTACACTCTATGGTCTATATTCAAAAGATTTTAAACTGGAGACTCAAACAGATGTTTGTACACCAAGGTTGATAAAAGCCAAAGGGTAGAAACAAACCAAGTTGTCAACAACAGATGAATGGATAAATATGCAAGGCATGTATGGGGCTAGAATCCAGTTTGGAAGTTGTCTGCAGCAATCAGATTCTACACAGGTTTGTTTGCTGGTTCCTGTGAGGATTAGTGTGGAATGTTGGCTTGCTAATGGGTGTGAGTTGATTTGTTTTGGCATTCTATTTAAAAACACATTTGAGCCTAAGGGCCACTGGCCCTTAGGCCAGATTTTAATTGCTTATGGTAAAACATTCTTCTAAGTGGTATAGCACTAGTTTGTCCATTTGCTGTACAGAAGTAACTTGTGGTTGCTGAGATGCTAAACACTGTGACACTGATGTGTCAAATGTGATAGTGGTTACCCATGGTGGACAGTGTTTGGTAGAGCTTCCCAATTAAAACAAGCTTGGAAGCAGGGAGCTTGGAAATACTTCCAAAATAAATTGTCTCCAGAAACTCTATGAACATGGAGAAACAATGAAAGTTATACAAGTGTTCAGGTCTTTTGTTCAGAGGGTTGCTATGAGTCGTCTGTGACTTGACAGAACTTAACAACAACAACATGGTGTTTACATGTAAAGGAAGCTTATTCAGTTGAAGAGGAGTTTCACTGATGTGTGACTTGCATCAAGTATATAAGGAAGTCTTTACCACAAATAGATAAAATATGAGAAGTAAATTCTTAGATTATTGATTGTTTTGACAATTTTGTCAGGATGAGAAGTTTAGGGAATTTGAATGATTGGTCCTACTTAGCCTAGGGAAAGTAGTGAAAATGATAAGTTCAGGGTTGCTGAGTCAGAACTGAAGCATCACAATAAAAGAGCTCAGATTTTCCAATTGTGCCTTGGAAGAATGTTTTATATATTAGAGAGCCAATATTGCTGAAAATCATCCATTTTTGCTTCTAAACCTGTAACTAGAATTGAATTCTAGCAAGCCCCTAACGATGAACTACAAACTGTGACCCAGAAAGAAGTATGCTACACTCCAAAAAATTGCTTGATTTTCCTAATCTGTACAAACAAAAATCTAGATATGTATATGGGAATAATAGTTTAAGGAACATAAAATTGGACCAATATGAACTTATTGTGGCAATAGGCACAGATTCTTCATTTATTGTTTCAACTCAAGAGCGTACAAAATGACCTAATAGATTATTTGATTGACTTATTAAAGTATTTATTATGTGATGGCCTACATCTGTTGAAGTAGCAGGTCTTCCTTGGTACACTTTAAAAGAGGATATACAAACCCTTAGGCAAATTGACAGGTTAGAGACGGTTTGCCTGATTAGAGTCATAAGCACACACAAAGAATGCTCACTTTTGCAACAACTTTAAAGAACAAATTTGTAATAAAGAGTCTCGGCACCCTTGAAATACCCTTTGACATTTTATGTAGTCTAGATAAGGTGGTGGGAATTGTCCTTCTTTAATTAGACACCTAATCAGAAAGGTACTAGTTAGACTCTCTTATGGTGGCTGCACTTAATTGACAAAGACAAGGCGAATTTGGTTACCATGATGGACAGTAGAGTCAAAGAAATAATCAGAGTCATTTTACTTGTGTGGCTTTATGGCACTGACCTATTCAATCTGTGTGATGGGCAAATAATCCATAAAACTGAACTCTATAAAGAAGAATGTGACATCAAGAATTGGAGGAAGGCTCATCATTGGCCTGATTTATACAGATGGCACACCTTGCTTGCTAAAAGTATGAAGGACCTGAAGTACTTGTGTTGTAGGAGATCAAAGACTACAGTCTTCAATATGGATTACATCTTAACATCAAGAAGAACAATAAAAATCTCAGCATTGAACCAATAGATAACATTAGGATAGACAAAGAATTGAAAATATTAATGCTTTCATATTACCTGAATCCACAGTCAACACCCTTAAAACCAACGGTCAGTAATTCTTTGGGCAAGGATACCTTAAGTAACTTCTGCAAAATACTGAAGAGCAATGATAGCAGTTTGAAGTCTAAAGGGTGTCTAATTCAGGCTATAGTCATTTCAATCATTTGCTATGCATCTGACAGCAATAAATAAAGATAGCAGAAAATTAATTTATGTCTTTGAATTTCTCCGATGGAGAAAATGCAGCCAGAATGCTCCTTGGAGGCAATGATGGTAAAAGACTTGTCTCTCATACTTTGAACATGTTGATAACAGAAGCTGTTCCTTGGAAATGTACATCATGCTTTGAAAGGTGGAGGTGCTTAGAAAGAGAAGAAGACCTCCAAAGAGATGGTTTGACATAGTGACTGCAGCAATGGTCTCAAATGTATTAGAGATGGTGAGGATGTCACAAGTCAGGACAATATTCAGATCTGCTATTCTTAGGGCCTTTATGAGTCACATTACACTCGTTGGCACCTAACAACAACAACAACTCAATAATAGAGTCCCTAGGAGTGAAAAATATGGAAAACATACTAAATATTTATTTTCTTTGTACAAGTGAAGGAATTACAGGTCAAGTGAATGACAGTATAATGTTTCCTTGGAATGTATAATTGGAAAAGACATACTGAGCAACTGGCCGAATCCTTATAGTGAATCCCTGACATGTGTAAATAAGTGCTCTTGTAGTATTAAACAATAACTTGAAGCTATTAAAACTATCTCTATTTGGGAAAGTACTAAAACAAGGCCAGCAATAAATTTTTACTACCTTACCTACAGTGCAAGGGAGGAAGACCTTTGATGAAATGGATTGATTCAGTGACTGGGGTAATGAGGGGAGGGATGTCAGAGACAATAAAGTTGGCACAGGATAGAGCAGGTGAAGGATCCCTGAAAGATTAATGGCAATATTGAGGAGTCTGTTGTACAAGGAAATGTCCCAGAAACCCTGAGGCTCTTGCGAGCAAGGGACCTTAGGAATGTTGGGGCTGCATATGGCTCTGACTTTGTTCCAGGAATGGCTCTGCATCAGCACTTTTTGATATCTAAGCCATTTATCCCTAAAGGGTTAAGCACTCTGAGAAGACTTCTGAGGGCTGTTGAATGTTTCCAAGCATATCTCCTGGAGCACTTCGAGTCAACAGTCTTTTATCAGACTTACTTAATCATTGCATTCACAAGTCAAAATACAGTGAGAGAACACAGTCTTGGGTAGTTTAAAATAACTTGCTCCAGTTTCTCTGTATCCTGAAAAATGTGTATGCACACTTCAGCGCCCTGAAAAATGTGTACGTGCACTTCAGTATATGCCTCTCTTTGTGCTATTTTTAGTAACTGTAGCTTTACAATAAATACAAGGTTCACCTCTAAATGGATGCTGCCAGCCTAGTAGGGCTGCAGTCCTTGTCTTTCATCATCTCTCATGAGTCTCTGCCTTCTCTGACCTGCAAACCCAGAACACCAGTTACGACAAGCAGGGTTCAGGGCTATCATATATAGGATCACAATGAGTCACAAGTGACTCAATGGCACACAACAACAACAACCTTACGTCTGGGAAAATCACCTTCATCAATATGTAATAATTTAGTCCAAATTGAGCTTGATATCTTTACCATTCACAAGATGTCACACTAACACATTTTTTCATTTTTTTAAGTTTTTTTATTTTAATTGTGATTTTAACAAAAGTTTACAGAAAAGTTAGATTTTCATTCATTTATTGTTGGACATTTTTACCCCTTCTTCCTACTTCCCTTCCCTCTTTTCCAATTCACTTTTTTTGTGGGTTTTTTTTTTTTTAATATTCCAACAAATGATTGGCTAGGAAAACGGTTACATTCATACAACGGAATACTATGCAGCACTGAAAAATAATGAACTCATAAAACATTACACAACATAGTTGACCCTGCAGGACATCGTGATGAGTGAAATACCTTAGTGCCAAAGAACAAATAGTGCATAACACCACTGTTATAAAGCAGGTCTGACATGAGGGTTTAGGATAAGTGTGGACAATGAAATGTGAACATTTCATTCTAACAGATGAAGAAAAGAACTGTTTAAAAGAATTATATCATTAGACATTATATGTACAACAGACCAGAATAAAAGGTGAATTTCAAAGAGGACTGGGGTGAGGGGGCAAGGTATTTGTCACACTAATATGGATGAAGGGATGTTTGTTCAGTGTTTGTGGGGGTTTTATTTATTTATTTATTTATTCATTCATTCATTCATTTATTCATTTATTTATTTTACAATCGTGTGTAAGTTGATTGGTTGCCTGGATTTACTGAATTTAGTTAACAATCAGCTGTGGGTTGGAAGCCTCTTGTTTAAGTCAGTCAGATTATGTTGGGTGGGCTTTTGTATTTAAAAGTTGGCTAGTGTTAATTGGGTTTGGGAAGACCATTCTTCTAAGTGGTAGAGCATTGGTCTGTAAGTTTGTTGTATTGAGATATCTTGGGTTTGTTGTTATAATGAACATTATGCCCTGGTGTGTCAAATGTCATAATGATTACCAATGGTGGACAGTGTTTGATAGAGCTCCCAGATTAAGACAAGCTTAGAAGGAGGATCTACATCCACTTCCTAAATAGCATGCCTTTGAGAACTCTATGAACATTAGAGAAATGACAATAGTTACAGAACAGGTACCTGTCATGGTCTCAATTGTATTTCCCAACAAAACACATGTATATAATTATATAATATGGAAAGCATGCAATGATCTCTCCCCAATTCCATCACAGATTTAGTTAG